AGTGCCCTTGCTTATTTTTTGTCTCGTTGATCTATCTATTGTTGAGAGTGATGTATTGAAGTCTCCTATTACATACATATTTTCTCTAATGTCTATTTTCAGAGATAATAATAATTGTCTGATATATTTTGGTGTTCCTTCATTTGATGAGTATATGTTGATGAATGTTATATCTTCTTGGTGTATTGTCTCCTTAATCATAATGTAGTGACCATCTGTGTCTCTTTTTACCTTTTTTAGTTTGTAGTCTATTTTATCTGATATAAGTACAGCTGTTCCTGCCATCTTTTTTGGTCCATTTGCTTTAAGATTGTTTTCCATCCTTTTACTTTTAGTCTAATTTTATCTTTTGTAGTTAAATATGTTTCATGAAGACAGCAAAAGGTTGGGTTCTCTTTTTTAATCTAGCCTGCGATTCTGTCTTATTGATGAGTTTAGTCCATTTGCATTCAGAGTTACTATTGACACATTGGCATCTGTATTTGCCATTTTGTTTGTCTTTTTGTGATTTTATTCCTTGTTTTGTTCTTATTATTCATTCCTCTGTTGGTTTTGGTTTAGGATTTCTTATAATTTTTTTGGAGTAGGGGTTTAGTTGTAATGAAATTCTGGAGTTTCTGTTTGTCTGAGAAGGTCCTTGTTCTTTCTTCATAGAGGAAGGAAAGCTTTGCAGGATAAAGGATTCTTGGTTGGCATTTATTATATTGGAGTTTGTTGACTATGTCCCTCCACTCTCTCCTTGCCCGTAGTGTTTCTTGGGGGAAGTCTGATGTCAGCCTGATTGGTTTTCCTTTGTATGTTATCTGTTTCTTCTCTCTTGTCAGCTTCACTATTTTTTCCTTGTCTTGGATCCTTGGGAGCTTTACTGTTATGTGTCTTGCTGTATTTTCCCTTTCATCATGGAAGTTTGATGTTCTCGCTTCTTGTATGTCTGTTTTCATCTCCTTGTAAGTTCTCTTTGATTATCTCCTTGAATATTTTCTCTGTTCCTATGTCTTTCTCCTCTCCTTCTGGGATTCCTATAACTCTTATTTCCTTTCCTCATGGAGTCAGATAGTTCCTGAAGTCTTTCTTCATTCTTTTTTCTTTGTACTTCTCTTTCCTTTTCTGTTTTGGTTATTTTTACTACTGTGTCTTCGAGAATACAGATTTGTTCTTCCATTTCAACTATTCTGTTTTCATTATTTTTCCCAGACTTCTTTAGCTCCTCCATTAATCTTTGATTCTTTTGTGTTTCTTTTACTTCCCTCTTTAGGGACTCAATTACATTCATCTGATGATTAATTATTTTTCTCTTATCATTCTTTTCCTTTTCATCTTCTTTTAGTTTTTTAATCATGCAATTTTAAATTCTCTGAGAAGTCAGCTGAGAAGTTCTTCTGGATCATTGTTTTTGTGTTCTGGTGGTTGGTTTTCTTTTTGTTGTGTGTCCGTCCCCTAAGGGCTTGCTTGTTTGTTTATATTTTTTCTTCTCCATGTTGTCTTTTTTCTAATGTGTTCTAAGCATTGGAACACTGTGCCACTGGTACTGGTGGGCATCTATTCAGGGTGATCCTTATGGGATGTCAATAATTGGTAGTCAGACCGTATCCAGCACTATTGCACCAAAACTCCACAAGGGTAGTGGTATTGTAGATATGTTGATGGGTGCTGTCTCATGGTCTCCTCGCTCTGTATTTACTCCATTTTGGGGGGGTTGGTAGGAGCCCTAGCTTCCCACAGTGATGTAGGGGCTGCATTCTCGGAGTGCAGGTGCAATCCGCCCCAGCTTGGCTGGGTGTTTGGGGGCTCAATTCAGCTCCAAATCACTGGCTTGGGACCCACCAGAGCCCCACTGCCCTCTGCTTGCATGGTCCTGCCAGACTTCTTTGTTCATGGGGCACACCCTCTCTCCATTTCAGAGGGGAGTGGTGGAGTCCCTAGCTTTCCTTTGGAGTTGCACACTCTCAGTACCTGCAGTTCCCATCTCAGCCCTGCCAGGTGGGGCTCAGTTCAGTTCTAAATCACAGGCTTGGGACTAGTGGTAGCCCCATTCCCCTCCACATGTGCTCCTACTGACTTTTGTTTGTTTCACCTTCTGAGATTCTTAGATAGCTCAGTGTTTTTGCTTTGCTGCCAAACTTTATCTCCTTTTCTTTTCCTGGACAAAGTGTTTGGGTTTGTGAATGGGGGAGGGGAGAAAATGTCCTGATTGATATCTCCTTTTCCTCCCTTACCCCGTGGCTCTTGCCCTCTCCCTGCTTCTTCTGGGTCACCAACTTTGTCTAAAACATCTGGGTCCTGCCAAGATCTTATTGCAATTTCTCCCTTATTGTTTTTTTTTTTTTTTTCCTGGAGAACTGACTGTTAGCTTTAGCATCCCTTCACTGGTATGTTGGTGACATCACCCCCTCAAATTGATTTTCACCATACCATTGACCCCTTTTTCTTGATACCCATCCCCTTCCCACTTTTATTCTGATAATCACTAGTAGGTCTTATAATCCAAAAGTTGAATTTTGTTTTTATAGTTCATTTATATATTTTCTTTTTTAAAGAAGATTTATTTATGCATACAAGAACTGGGGTGCAGGCCAGATGTGTGGGGGGTGAGGGGATTCACCAGAGACAGAGTGGGGAACAGAACTGGCAGACTGACTAAATACACTGTTGAGGGGAGCAGTGGGCCAGACGGGAGAGGTCTTCTGAGCCATGTGGGTTTCTCCCAGGCTGGCCAGGATCGAACCCACACTGCAGAGGTTGTGGACAGCTTCACAGTGTGGCTCTCAATCACCTGCATCACCAGGGAGGCCCAATATATTTATTTTCTCTATAAACCACTATGCCATCATAGTGTTTATTTTTTGTTTTCAAGTAATAACTTACTTTTCTCTGACATTTCACAGTTTCTACAAAACTTCATATTTCTTCAAAGTAATGGACATTTGATAAATCTTTGCACTAAAGAATGTGTAGCTAGAAAAACACTTCAATATAAATACAAGAGTTACTTTTCTCCTGAAAGAATCATAGTAAAGTCCAACCACACTTTTAATTAATAAAAAGCAATGAGGGCCTCCCTGGTGGCATAAGGGGTTAAGCACAGCACTGCGAAGCTATCTGCAGCCTCTGCAGCATGAGTTCGATACAAGCTGGCCAGGGAGCTACCCACATGGCACAGCAGACCTCTCCTGTCCTGCCAACTGCTCCCCTCAGCAGTATATTTCCTCAGGCTGCCTGTTCTGTTCACCACTCTGTCTCTGGTAAATCCTCTCACCCCCTGCACCTCTGGCCTGTACCCCAATTCTTGTATGCATAAGGAAATAATTCTTTTAAAAATAATAATAAAAATAAAAATAAAAAGTAATGAGAGGGTAAAAAGTTACAAATATATTTAAACTTCATTCCCATAAGTACCTCAATCAACAGCTTTTTTTTAGATGTGTGTCTATAATGCCAACAAAATCTGCCTGCCATAAGTTCTTTTGAATGTTGGTTTGAGTTAAGAATGGCTTCTCACTGTCAGAAAACAATAGCTTTGGCACACTACTTCCTACCCAATCAAATCAAGCACCGCTAAGACCGTTACTACTTACAGCCTTGGGCAGCCAATGTAGAGATTCCTGGCCAAATCTGAGGTTTTCCCATTTGCTTATCTGGCACCTGCTAGCCTCACTGGGTCTCTCCAAGATCTGTTTTCACAATTTGGCTTCATCTGCTTACAGATGGGGAAAGAACAATCATGGTAACAACCTAGGGAGACTTGCAGCACCAAGTTACAAGATCAGGGAAGAGCTAGGGGTGGTGCCACTTTTCCCTGACACTCAGCAGTGGGGATCAGTGATTGCTTGCATTATTTTTTTCTGTAACAAGACGGTGAATGCAAATCTTTATCTAGGAAGAGACCAATAACTCCACAGAGGGTTTTTTGGATGGGAAATATTTGGTTTCATCAAGTATATTCAGATTCTGACACTTTGTGAGACCCCCGACTGGTACCCAGACTTTTCTGAACACACCTCTCTCTACAGCTTTGCTGCAAAACATTCTACCAAATTTAGAATATGAAAAACATATTCTACCCAAAAGGAAGTATTCCAGGATAGTGCACAGAGTAGAACTGTGGTAATCCCTCATAGATTGGGGACCAGGGCGCAGAAGATAGTGGGCCAAGAAAAAAATACTAATAGGAACTGGATCTGTTTAAAGAGTACTTTTGTTCTTTCTTTCAGAAAACAAATAGCAGGTAATAATTTTGCACTAATTAGGAGAATCTAGAGATTTTACCAAGTTGTTTATTTCTAAATTGGTCATATATAAATCAGAAAATATTTGAGAACAATATAGGTAACCAAATGCCTTGTAATATTACAGCTATATTAGAGTTACAAATTCCTAGTAAATATGAGAAATTATACAACACTGAGAATACATTTAATGCCACTGAATTATACATTTACAAGTGGTTAAAAAGATATTGTTATGTATGAGATATTTTCACATTATCAGACAACAACAAAGTAACAAAATTTCAATTCCAAGTATCTTTATATACCACATGCTGTAAAGTGCCATGCACATTACATTTATTATTTCTTATTTTCAAAGCATGACTGCAGAAATGGTAGGAGTTATGGTCTGATGCTAAAAGGTTTACTCTCTTTTATTTATTTTTTTTTTATAGACTTTTTTTTTTTTTTTTAATAGAGGCATGCTTTATTTATTTGTTTGCTGGTTTGTTTGTTTGTTTTGTTTATACATGCACTGGGTACAGTCAGAAGCACGGGAGGGTGAGAGAATTCACCAGAGCCAGAGCGGGGAGCAGAGCAGGCAGAAGGACGGAAGTACACTGCTGAGGGGAGCAGCGGGCGGCAGGAGAGGTCTGCGCGCCATGTGGGACCCTCCTCTGGTGGCCGGGGAGCAGCCGGGGATCGAACCGGCACCGCAGAGGCCGCGGGCAGCTTCGCAACCCAGCGCTCAACCGCTGCGCCACCGGGGAGGCCCGGTTTACTCTCTTTTAGGGCATGGCCTTAGTGCTAAGAAGATTTGCGGCCTGCCGCGAGCACATAACTTCAGATAGCACATTCTTGGTGTTTATGTCTCATGGAATCCTGGATAAAATTTGTGGAACTATGCACAGTGATGAAAAGCCAGATGTCTTACCTTATGACACCATCTTCCAGATTTTCAATACCCACAACTGCCTCTATCTAAAGGATAAACCCAAGGTCATCATCATCCAGGCCTGCAGAGGCGGTGAGTTCTAAGGGAGTCCAGAGGTCAGGGAGGTGTGTTGTGCAGGCTGAGGGGTGTACTGTGTATATGTGAAATACACAGTATTTATAGTGAAAAAGACCATGTGCATCACCTCAGTTCAATTATACCCAATAGATTTCTTTGGAAAGAATCTTTAAAGGGAGACAATAAATAAAATGGGATAGCTTAAATATAAATTTCAGATCCTCTCAGTATAGGATAACATGATGATGTTCATGTTAGTTCTAAATTATATTTTCATAGAATAATTAAAATTATGGCATTAAATAGCTTTAATGTCAATATTTGCTAATAACAATTTTATAGCTGACATGAGAAGTATTTCACATGATTGTGAGGGATCAAACTTTAATGCATAACTAAGTGAAAGAAGCCAAACCCCAAAGTCTCCATTTATGTGGATTTAGATAAAAAGAAAATGGATAGGGCAAAAGTAGGCTAATGACTGCTAGAAGTGGTGGATGGGAGAGTTTTTCTATATTTGGAGGTTTATCAAATTTAGTTAACTGTACAACTAAAAAGGGTGAATATTATTGTATGTAAAGACTACCTCGGCAAACCAAATCATTATGGCATTGCTTTCTACTATAAATATTGCACTTCAAATATCAATATAATTGTATCAGCTGGAAAATGGCTTAGAAGGAAACAGCAGCAATGGAAAAAGAAAGGGAATGCAGAGATTGTTTTTAGCTGTGGCAGACTAGAGCAACAAACTTTGGCTTCTCTTGTACTGTGGTTATTTTACTGTCATTAAACCCAAGCTGCTTACGTAGCAACATTCAATAGTAGACTTTAACATCCTTACTGGCCCTGATCAGGAGGTACCTTCCAGGCCCAAGTGGTAGTTGTTGTTCATTGTTCATAACCATTTAGATGTGAGAAGAAATAAATTGCTATTGGGCCAATTTTGTTTGTATTATGTGTGGACCTCCATTAAAGAGTCAGATTTATTTAGTTATCAAATGATTGCTAAAAGGGGATGAGTGGTGAAAAGATAACAGTATTGTTATATTGTGTCCCCTCAGGGAACAGTGGGATGCTGTATGTCCATGACCTTCCAGCCATGTCAGAAGATGGCTCTATTTGGTCTCTAGAAGGCCTAACAGATGATGGCGTCCACAAGACCCACGTGGAAAAGGATTTTGTGGCTTTCTGGTCCTCAACCCCACGTATATGTCTTTCATTTGTAGGCAAAAATGGGTGGGAATGAGGCCTGCTCACTGTCCTAGGAAAGAACACAAGCTAAAAGTCTTTGCAAGGCATTTTTGAGGGAATGGGGAGAAGTTTTCTTTTGTAGTTTCTGTATGGTTACCCAGTTTTGTTCTGGAAGGCAAAACTCAAGATATTGGTCTTCCATATCCTCTGCACAGGTAGTGCAGTCAGTAAGCCTGCATCTGAATTGGGTAGTGACCTCCTTTTGAGAATGTGTATCTTTAAAACTTGGTAACTAAGGAATGTAGATATAAAATATTGCCAAAAGATCATCAAATAAATAGCAGCAACTGGTAATGTGAGATTATAATCTAGGGAGTAGTAAAGAGCTTTACAGGATCAATTTCAAAACCCATCATATTTAAAGTGAGACAATTTAAAAAATAAGACAGATTGGTACAGAGAAGAGAATTCCCAGGCTTGCACAAAGACAGGCAGACTTTCTAAAGTACTCAAGCAAAAGTTATAAGTTAGTTATATATTCTTTTATATATTCTTTATACACATGTATACATTTACATATATAGCTGAGTATTTACTTTCTTACTTATTTACAATCTATGGCTTTTTTTTTAAACATGAAAGCTGTAACTCAAGATGTATCATTTCCTTTATGAACAGATAATGTTTCTTGGAGAAGTGCAAGTGGTTCTCTCTTCATCAATCAACTCATAAATTATGTTCAAAACTATTCTTGGTGTTGTCATCTAATAGAAATATTTTTGAAGGTAAGTACCAAATTATTGGCTTCATTTCATTCATATAAGCCAAACCAAATGTATACAATTACTCACCTGCATATATTACACAAATGATAAGATATTATTGACATGGTGACATACTTTGCTTTTTTTTTGATTTATTACTTTTATTAACAAGGTTTATAGGAACAAATTATGTATTTAAAATCATAGGCCAATTCCTAGTTCTTTCTTAGTTGCTTAGTCTGTAATATAACTCTAAGGTCTTAACCTGAAATCAAGAAACAAGTCAAACCTGTGAAAATTTCTAACAGTCAACATTTATCTCATTTTTGTATTTCTGTTCTATGATGCAAAGATATTTTAAGCACCCAACTGGTTTATCAAAAGCCTAATATTCTCATAAGCTGCATGTTTTATTTTAAAATTCAGATTATTTAATGAACTGATTAAGACAATGTAAAAGACAGAATTATGCTCAGGAAGGAGTGGTCCGTCCGTATGCTGATCACCTAGAGTCCTGATTGGCCGTAATTTAAACCCCAACAGCCCCAATTCCAGAAACACATTAAATTTCTTCAATGTTACAAGTATATTATCATTTTTAAGAAATATTTTGTCAGAGATACCCATTATTGCCCACATATCTTCTGCAATTACACTGGCTACTATTATCATTACAAAGGTGGCCAAGTTTTCTATAAACATCAGCATTTTACATGGGCAAAAGCAGTTAATAAAAATCAATTCACTTCTCATAAGCCAAATGTGCTTATATTTAATCCCACTCCAAAAACATGTACTTTTTGATGTGTTGATTTTGGTCTACCTTAAATACAAAATGTTATCTACAGACACTGTTGCAGAGTTAATCACTAAAACTATAGATTGACACTTTCAAAGCAAAGCAGAGAACTGTTCTGTCAGTGTTTCCTTCACTGAATCCTGACTTTCGCTGCTCTGTCTGTCACACCTTCTGGCTGAACACTGATATGTCATGGTTTATAACTGTAAATGTATCCTAGCTGTGAGTTTAAAAATTGATCTGCACAAAAGAAATTAAAAAACTTTATATACAACAAATTTTTTTTTAAAAATACAAAAATAACATCTGTCACTTTTGACATGCTGACAATTTGACATATATACACATGCAGGAGAAAAGTTCCAGTTTAGTCATCTGGGCAGCTGAAGCCTGGCTATTTTAAACATGATGAACACACCGCCATTGTGTATTCAAAATATTTCATATACTAAATACTGCGATAATCTCTGCATGTATAAATGCCAAGTTACAATAGTTTGTGTACTACTTGATTAAAAGTATGTCTTTAGCTAATATTAAGTGCACTAAAAACTACAAGAGTTCAATAATCAATGACCTTATATAAAGAAATCTGAAATGTACAAAATATGACTATAAAAGCAAGGAACAATTACTGCCATGCAAAATTTTAAGCTAAAAACTGCATAGATATGCAATTTTAAAAGGCAAACTCAAATTTACATAACACTCAAGATAAAAAAAGTCCGCAGTAAGCTGGACCAACACAATGCTTGCAAAGATTTAAAAAAAGGAAATACATTCTCTCTGCTGGTATAATGGTATAAATCAGATCCTTAAATCCATGGAACAAGTTATCTATCCTCTCTCTCAATAAATTAGCTCTTTAACAGTTGTTTTTATGAAATCTTTTCTTTCAGTTAAATCATAGGCAGGATAATTTTCATAAACCTCTTTGCAAATCTGCTTCATTGTGACTTCCTCCAAGTTAGCATTGGCCAGTAATTTCTTTACTGTTTCTTTCAACTCTTCATCTGTAGGAGGTTTCTTCAATTTTTAATTAAAAGCTCATCATCTGAACTACCCTCAGATTCACTTTCTTTTTTGGAACTGTTTTGATTCTTCTTGGTGGTGCTGCTATCCGCCTTCTTTACATTAGCACCTTTTACAGATTTTTTACTTTTCGGAGTGGCTTTCTGTTTAGGTGTCTCCATTTTAGATGTCTTTTTTGGTGGCTCCTCTTCACTTTCTTTATCTTCATCATCTGAAGACTCTTCCTTGGTTTTCTCTTCATCTTCATCACTGCTAGATTCATCTGACAAAATTTCAGGACATTTGGTTCGTTTAGTTTTCCTTGCCATTCCAGAACTGTTCCGTTCCTTTTTGTTGCTTTTGCTAGAAGTTTTTTTAGATTTTGGTTATGGTTTGCCAGAAGGCTTTGGATGCATTAAGAAATTCAAGATCCTCTTCACCAATTCACTATTTACACCTGATCGCTCCAAATCAAGAACTTCGCAGATGCTCTTTAACATGGCATTTCTAAATTTTTTCAACATTTCTTCCTTCTTTTTATACTGGATACTTCCTTTTTCAAATGGAAAGCCACTGAACTGACCCACATTCTTCTTTAATGAGGACACTGTGCCCGATCTATTGTAAAGCAGTTTATGCAGATTTCTAAGTTCATCTGTTTTCTTTTTACTGAGAAAGAAATGTATCCTTTCAATTTCACAAAGTTTTTGCCCCTTTCCTTGTGCTATTGTAAATGGCTCTCTCTGTAAAGAAGAGACTTGCATTGTCAACCTTTCTACTTTCTTCTTTTCCCTCTTGCCTTCCACAATGAGACTCTTTTCTTTTTCTTCCTCCTCATCGTCCTCCTCCTTGTCGTCGTCCTCACTTTCCTCTTTGGGGTCCGGCATTTCGGGCTCCTTCTCGGCCTCGGCCGCGGGGCCAGCGGCGGACATGCTGGGGCCCGAGGAAGCTCCGCGAGAAGAAGCCCGCGGGCAGCTCTCCGTGACGCGCGCCGCGCCCGCCGCCGGAGTCAACAAGATTTTAAAATCTACTTTGCTTTTTAATTATTTCCAAAGTATTAACCTCTGGTAGTCAAAGAAAATTAATGCACACTGAAATTCTGTATTCAAGATATATGAGATGAGGAAGCAAAAGAAATGGAGAATACAGATGTTATATAGAAAATTATCTGTAAAAGCTTGTTGGAATAGGGTACTTTGTGTGTGTTTTTGACTAGTCTACATTGTCCTTATTGATCTGTGAGACATGGGAGGGAGAAGGCCATGAGGGTATGCTAAGGAACGAGAGGATCATGCCCTGATACGGATTAAAGGAGTGAATGCCAAGTTTAAGAACTCTAGTGCATCATAAACCCTGAGGGCAACTTTCTAGTTACTATGTAGGATCACAGACTCATGCTTCCAACAAAGACAGCCTAACAAAGACGACATTTACTCACCAGTCTAAACAAACTGAAGGACAAGAACAGACCAGGAGGTACATTAAGCAACAGTTTTCTTGTATGCATGGATAAATAAATCTTTAAAAAAAAAAAAGTAAAACATATAACTAAAATAGCCCTATATAAATTATGCCAAACAAATTTGCACTTAAAAACATTCCCACAAAAAAATTCTAGGTCCAGATGAACTGAGTTGTGAAACTGAATAAACATTTAAGAAAGAAGTGATATCAGCTCTGTATATACTCATCCAAATAATTAAAAATTAGGAAATATCTCATAACTCATTTTTGGGGGTCAGTCTTTTGCTGCTAATGATATCTAATAAAAACATTAAAAGGGTGGCAAAATACAAAATATTCCTCATGAACACAGATGCAAAATTCCTGACAAAAATTTATCAAACAAATTCAACAATATAAATCAAAATGCCTCATGACTTAGTTTATCCCAGCAATACTTATTTGCTTAACATTTCAAAAAATCAGTCCCTGTAATTCCTCATAATCACAAATGAGAGGGGGAGATGAGGTGAGGGAGGGAAATTCATATGACCATTTTATGGCCGCATAACAAGCATTTACCAAAACCTAAAATTCCTTCCTTATAAACGACTCTCAGCAATCTACAAGAACAACTTTTTTTGATAAAAATGTCTAAAAAAGCATGATAATAAACAAGTTTAATAGCAAAAGACTGAATGTTTATCATTTGATATCAGGAATGAGACATCACTACACTTAAGTATCTTCTTAAAAAATGGAAATATAGACTTGAGATTCGGGTTTAATGAGATGTTCCATAGTTATCCCCTAGCACAGATTCTGGCACATGGCAAGATTAAAGCTGGTGGCAGTCCACACAATGACAAGGAGAGTGGCTACACAGGAAAAACAGGAACAAGATGTAGGGATAAAGCAAACCCAAGAAAATGTTAGCAACTTGAGGGCTACATACTGTTCACTTACTAGTTATTCACGTTTTCTGTGTGGTTGAAAAATATACTTAGGCACAAGCCACATAATGACATTTCAGTCAGCATCAATCTTGACAATATAATTTTTCATTGTACTTGACTTAGTCTCTTACTTTGTTAATCACGGCCCCAAACTTATAAAATCCAACACTAAGGGTGCTTCTGCCCAATAACAAAATTGCTTAATGATACATTTCTCAGAATATATCCCATTTGTTAAGTGACACATGGCTGGGAAGTCCAGAAATAGATTCAAACATGTAGAGACAACTAATTTGAGTGTAACATTTATGCATTCAATTCAGTGGAGAAAAGAATGTTTTCAACAAGGGGTTCAAGGACATTGCATAAACACATGTAAAAATAAACTATTTGTTAAAGCAGTGGACTCTGTTTATGTACAAGGAATTGAACCCAAAACTGTCTTTTTATTTTCAGGTTCAAAAATCATTTGAGGAACCAGAGTTTAAAGTCCAAATGCCCACAATTGAAAGATCAACTATGACCAGACATTTTTACCTCTTCCCAGGCAACTAAAATTATTAACTACCTACAGATGTTAACAAATCAGGGAAAGGACTAGTGTTTAAGAGAGAGTAGCATAGGCTGTGCCCTCAGTGGGCAACATTCTATTTCCTATTTGTTGTTTTGTTTCTCTCTCCTTCTAATATCTATCAAAAAATGTGTTTTAGTCATAGATGGAAACTGGTATTAGTATTGCCTTATGCCATAAATTATTCAAAAATGAGATAAATTGTACAATTATGCCTACACCATACACAGTTTTATAACAGAACAAACCTGCTGGTATTTAGTCCAGAAGGCATAACAAGCAAAATATAATGGTCTCACTCAGCTGAGGAGAGACAGATCAGAATTTAGGAATATTGAGTTAATTTACTAAAAACAGAGCTAAAAGTATATAATAGAGAAAGGAGAGTTGATGTAACAATTGATGTTGAGAAAATTGGACAGCCATGTGCAAAATAATGAAACTAGACAATTGTCTTATATGATAGAGAAAAATGATTTCAAAATAGATGGAAGACTTGAAGGTAAGACTGGCAACCATGAAAGACACAGAAGAAACAGTGAAACACACTAACTTTGGTCTCAGTGATATCTTTTGGCATTTAACTCCAACAACGAGGGAAACAAAAGCAAAAGTAAACAAATGGGACTACATGAAATTAAAAAGTTTCTGCACAGCCAAGGAAACTATTTTTAAAACAGAAAGATAAATAATGATGATGTCACTAATATATGGGTATATAAAGTAACTAAATTAATAGTCAGATAAAGACAAGCTTAAAAACTAACCCTTGATAGCTGACCACTGAAGTGAGACATCGGGAGGAAGGGGTGGGGGAGGGAAAGAACAAAGAGGGAAGGAAGGACAATGGTCTGTGGTGGTAGAATATGATGAGTTGTGGTGTGTGCACTATGGTGATAAAACTGATGGTGGTGCCCCAAGATTACCTCATTAAAAATATTTTTTAAAAAAAAGACATCCTAGCAAATGGGAGAAAATATTTGTACATCATACTTCCGACAAGGGGCTAAGATAATATCCAAGATCAAAAAAAAAAAAAATAAATCTCATACAACTCAACAATATAACAAATTAACACACACCCAATATGTGCACTTCTCTAGAGAAAACATACAGATGGCACACAGGCACATGAAAATGCTCATCACTTATCAGGGAATTGTAAATAAAAACCTCAATGAGATTCCACCTCATACCAGAGAGAATAGCCCATTTCAAAAAGGTAGACCTAGTGTTGGTGAGGGTGAAGAGAGAAACTAACCCTCTTACATAACTCTTGGTGGGGATGTAGACTGATCCAGCTCCTATGGAAAGCAGTATGAAGATTTCTCAAAATATTAAAAATAGATCTACATTATGATCCAGCAAATTCACTCCTTGGTATCTGTCTGAAGAATACAAAAACACTAATTCAAAGGGAGACATGCACTCCTGTGTTCATTGCAGCACTACTTATAATAGCCAAGCTATGGAAACAATCTAAGTGCCTAAGGACAAGTGGATTAGGAAGATGTGGTGTATTTACATAATGGAATATCACAAAGCTATAATAAAAGATGAAATCTTATCATTTGTGAAAATGGGATTATGCTAAATGAAATATGAAAGAAGGAGAAAGATAAATACACAAATTCTGGATAATTTCACTGATATGGGTAGAAAAGGACAGACAAAATCCAACCCAAATAAATCCTTGAAATCTATTATCCATTTTGAGTTCATTTTGGTGTATGGTGTGAGGTAGTAGTCATTTTCATTCTTTTGCATGTGGCTGTCCAGTCTTCCCAACACCACTTATTGAAGGGGCTTTGCATATATATATATATATTTATATTCTTTGTAGTGTATATTCTTTGTCATAGATTAGTTGATCATATATGTGTGGCTTGACATAAGCCTCAGAAACATCTTTGAGACTCATCTCCTTTGATTAAGAGGATTAAGAGGATTTAGAAGATTAAGATAGTCAAAATATAGAAGCAACCTGAATGCCCCAAAATAGACAAATGGGTCAAAAAGTTGTGGTATATTTATATAATGGAATACTACTTGGCCATCAAAAAAGATAAATTCATGCACTTGTGGCAGCATAAGCAAAGGAGAAGATTAAGAGCTGGGACTACAACCACCTATAAAAGCTTCTGTACAGACAAAAAGACAGTAACCGAAACAAAAAGAAATCCTACAGAATAGGAGAAAATATCTGCACAGCATACAATGGATAAAGGACTGAGATCAAAGTTCTACAGAGAGCTTACACAACTCAACAAAAACAAAGCAAACAACCCAGTCAAAAGTTGGGCAAAAGAAAAAGATGCTTTTCAAAGAGGAAATGCAAATGGCTAACAGGTATATTAAAAAAAAAAAAAGTTCAACTTCATTTATTATAAAATAAAAGCAAATCAAAAACCACAATAAGATACTACCTCACACCAGTGAGACTGGCCCATATTAAAAACAAAAAAAACAAAACAAACAAACAAAAAAACTGGAAACAACAAATGCTGGCCAGGATGTGGAGAAAATGGAATTTTCTTATACTGCTGGTGGAATGTAAACTGGTCCAACCATTATGGAAATCTGTGTGAAGTTTCCTGAGAACACTTAAAGTGGTTCTACTATATGATCCAGCGATTTCACTCCTAGGAATTTACCCAAAGAAAATCAAAAGTAAACTTTTATCCTTAAGTTTATTGCAGCACTATTTACAATAGCCAAAATATGGTAACAAACTAAATGCCCCAAAACAGACAAATGGGTCAAAAAGTTGTGGTATATTTATACAATGGAATACCACTTGGCCATCAAAAAGATAAATCTATGCAATTGTGGCAACATAGATGGAGATGGAAGGGATTATATTAAGTGAAATAAATCAGAAGGAAAAAGGTAAATATCAGATGGTTTCAGTTATATGTGGAATGTAAAGAAACCGAACAAAAGGTCAAGAAAAGGACAAAATTTGCATGCTGACCATAGATCTGAGGGCATATGGCCCAGGAGCAAGCGAGAGGTTTATAACATGGAGGGTTAGTGATGGTTCATGGGTGATGTGGTGGTGTGAAAACTACAAAGACTACATCTGAAGGGAGAAATTAATTAGTGTATAAAAATGAAGAACAATGTAAGAAAATAAATCTAGGAAATTTTTCTTTTTAAAATTGAGAGATGTTGAGGCAGCTGAAATATAAAGGCCTAATCTATAGAAGTGAGGTAACTATAGAAAGAACTCCAGATAGCCACACAGGTATAGGAATGTATGTCTCTTTAAGCTCTTGGCAGATACCAATCTCTAGTTTCATAGGATGACCAGGAATCCAGGAAAAGGATTAGGCATTTCAAAAGGACATGTCACTGTAATAGTAAAAGTCTGTATCTGTCAAAACTGACTCATGCTTCAGTGGTCATCAATGTGAAATAAAATCCTCACTGCACTACCGCTTTTGTTTCTCATTTTCCTGCACCCATCCCAACCATCAGAAACTATGAAGTTGGCCATCTGTGACTGCAATCTGATTGCAAAATCCCTCCCCTTTCTCTTTGCTTTTCATTCAATTCCCTTGTAGTCCTGTGGTCACACCTATAACCCATTTTGAGGTGTTTAGCACCTGGGTTCTGCTGTGATAGGAAACATGGGTCAGTTCCACTTGTCGACTTGCTGGTCTTTTTCAGAGCCAGGTTGGTGACAACTGTTCAATGTCATATACAAACTGTCTTTACTAGGAGAGCACAAGAGAAGACCCATGGACAGATACTCCATTGCCAGAAATCAAATTTCCTCAAAAAAAAAAAAATGTTCATAAAAGTACTGATAGCGAAGGCAGCATTTCCAGTCCAAATGGGTAGGAAGAAACTCACTGCCTGAGAAGTGGACGTGTGAGGTCAGCACAGCACAGTGATACACCACACAGTGATACACCACAGCTCCACACCACTCAGAGCTGGGAAATAGACATTAGTTTTGCTGACGCTGTGTTTTCCTCATGATTACAGTCATAAACAATGAAGTATTATCTTCCAGAAAACCTGGGAGGGTTCCAAACTGGTTATCTTGTGTCAAATTCCTAAAATTGCTAGCACAGGTTATGTGGGTGCCAGGAACTAAAGCCAAAACACTTACTGGATTTTTCAGTTTGTTTTGATTTGGTAAGCATTTTATTAAGTAAAAATAAAACTTTATGAGTAAGTTTTTTGTTTTGTTTTTTTTCCATCTTTTAACTTGTTGGTCCTTGAGGGGAAAAAAAGAAAAAAAAAAAAAAAACAACACTGTGGGTTGATGCCAGGAACAGTAGATGAAGGTTATCAATGGCTTTCTTTATAAAGAAGGTGTATCATGTTGACAGGAAGTTTATATCTGTCTGCAAGATAGCAGAGGTTGGGTCAGGACTCCATTTTCATATGTGATCAGATAGTTTCTTTGAACTGCACTTTGATGATGGAATAACACTCTCAGGATGGTCTGGCAGTGTGCCCAGTGACCACGAGCACTGGGCTGAGGGGAAGACACATCTGTCATAGCGGGTGATCACTTTTAAAGTTGGTGAACATTTCTGAGGCCTACTTTCCTCATTCCTAGTATGGAATGAACAATACCATCCCATAAAGTCCATTAAAGAACTAAATAAGCTTGAAAGGGCTAAGCCCACTGAGTGTACAGGTGGTAAACATTGCATGTAAGTATAGTCACCATACTCATTATTTTTGTTCACAGAGACACAGAATCACCATAAGGTAAATATGAAATATGTGAGATATGAGATAGAAAGTACATAAATAAGAATTATAAAATGGGTCTCCCTGGTGGCGCAGGTGGTTGAGCGCAGTGCTATGTGGCTGTCCACAGCCTCTGCTCCCCGGCCAGGGAGCTACCCATGTGGCACAGCAGACCTCTCCTGTCTCTCCCGCTGTTCCCCTCAGCAGTGTATTTTCCATCAATCTGCCTGTTCTGTTCCCCACTCTGTCTCTTCCTGTTCTGCTCCCCACC